TAATAATAAAAATTTAAACAAAAATCATATCTGTCTGTCATCTCTCCTAATTTCTCCCCAGCCTGCGCCCATTCTTTTATTTCCTATTTAACTAAAATCAAATTCTCTTTGTATTTCTTACTTCCAAAAACCGCTCCCTTACTCTGCGCCACCATTGATAACCCCTTTATAATGAACTTGCAGAGAGTCTGGCCCACCGATCGACCGTAAGGGCGAAATTGGCAGGCGACAAAGAGTGGTTAAGCAGATACGTGAGTCGAGTGGCCGGCATGTGGCAGCAACAGGAGAACAGCCTCATGACCCTCCTACCTGGCACCTCCTTGGCACTCCCCTCTGGCACTGGTAAGGGAGAAATCGTATATGGATAATTTTTTTTTATTTTTATTTTTTATTTTATTTTTTTTTTATTATTTATTTTTTATTTATTAGTATTATTTTTTTTTTTTTGTTAGGAGGGGGTTGGGGGTGTATAAGGGTGGAAAGGAAGGGAGGGAGGAAGAAGGAATGGGGGTGGGGAGGGAGGGAGGGAGATATGGAGAGAGGGGGGAGTTAAGGAGGGAAGGAGGGGGAGGGGGTAGTTAGGGAGGGAGGGAGGGAAGGAGGGAGGGAGGGAGGGGAGGGAGGGAGGAAGGGAAGGAGGGAGGAAGGGAGGGAGGGAGGGAGAGAGGAAAGAAAGGGGAGGAGGAAGGAGGAGGAGGGAGGAGGAAGGACGAGGAGGGAGGAGGAAGGAGGGAGGGAGGGAGGGAGGGAGGGATGAAGGGAGGAAGGGAGGAAGGGATGAAGGGAGGAAGGGATGAAGGAGGAAGGGAGGAAGGGAGGAAGGAAGGAAGGAAGGAAGGAAAGGGGAGGAGAAAGGAGGAGGAGGGAGGGAAAAATGGAGGGAGGGGGGAGGGAGAGAGGCAAGGAGGGAGAGAAGCAAGGAGGAAGGAGGGAGGGAGGGAGTAATGAGTTAGAGAGAGAGGGAGGGAGGGAGAGAAGGAGGGAGAGAAGGAGGAAGGAAGGAAGGAAAGAAGGACGGACGGAAGGACAGACGAACGAACGGACGGACAAACGAAAAGAAGGGATGGAGTGAAGGTGGGAAGAATGGGATAGGGAAGGAAGAAGGGGGAAAATGAAAAGAGGGAGAGGATGAAATGAGGAACGAGGGGGAAGAAACAAAAGAGGAATGAAGGGAGAGAAAGAAGCAGAAAATGGCACGGAAGGGAAAGTAGACATAAATGAGAATAAATATAAGAGAGACAATAATTGAAGAAAATCACAAAACAATTGAAGGAAGAAGGAAAGAGGAAGGAAAAGGAGGTGGAGAAAATGAGTGAAGAAGGGAGCTGAGGAGGAAAGTAACGAAAGGAAGAAGACGAGGAAGGGAACAGAGAGAGGAGACGGAAGAGACGGAAGAGAGGAGGGAAGGAGTGAGATAAAGTAATGAGATAAAGGAATAAGGACGATGAGGGGAGATGACAGAGGAAGGACGAAAGACTGAAGTGTTTAGGTACGTTTCAATAAGAGGAAGGGGAAGAGAAGTGATAATGACAGGCGACCGCTGCGAAGGTCACGGCATTCACACACACACACACACACACACACACACACACACACACACACACACACACACACACACACACACACACACACACACACACATATATATATATATATATATATATATATATATATATATATATATATATATATATATATGTATATGCACATGTATGTATGTATGTATGTATATATGTATTCATATATGTATGTATATGAATATGTATATAAATATATAAACATGCACATACATGTGTATGCGTGTGTTTCAACATATCTGTTCGCGTGCATGCTTGTTGTCTTTTATATTTCATGCCGCTATAGGTTATACTAATATTTTATAACATTGCCTGTTAGAGTCCAAATTCCAATCGCGTGAAGTGTACGCAACAACCGTATTGGAAAATGGACAAGCAGCCCCGTGGAATAATGATGATTTTATCCCATAAACATAAGTGGGGGGGAGGGGGGGGTAATGTCACAATTCAGCCCTAGTGGTGGTAGTTGTTTGTTTTTGTATTATTTTGTTTGTTGTGGTCGTTACTGTCATTATTATAATTATTCTCGTTATTATTGGTATCATCATTGATAATTATGATGATAAATAATAATCAGCACCATCCATCCACCTATCTATCTATCTATCTATCTATCAATCAATCTATCTATCTATCTATCTATCTATCAATCTATCTATCTATCTATCTATCAATCTATCTATCTATCCATCAAACCATCCATCCAACCATCCATAAATCTATCTATTTATCTATCTATCTATCTATCTGTCTGTCTATTCCCAGGTGTCTACGAGATCCAGACGGTGAACCTCCAGGGCGCGGGCTGGTCCGGCGCCCTCAGGAACTACGTGAGGGCGTGCGGGGAGGGCGAGGGCGCGCGGGCGGTCGAGGGAACGGCGCTGGTCGGGGCGTGGAAGGGCGTGTTAGGACCGGCCAACACG